TCTGTAATGAGGAGGGGGGGTCTGTGATGGGGTGATCTGTAATGAGGAGGGGGGGGGGGGGTCTGTGCTGGGGGGGTAGGGGGTCTGCGATGTAAAAGTGGGGAGGATCTGAGTCATAGCACCAACATGGCACTCGGACCTCCGCTGAAAGAACATTTTTACTGACCGACCCCTGTGAATTGTAATTCAGTACCCTGTACTATACAATCTGACCGTACAATCTCGTAAGATCTTCTATCACCTACAGAGATCAGGGGTGTCCTTATGTTACATCGTGTTGGTCCATCTAATGGTGACAATACATGCATTCATTTCATTATCTCTTTGATGTACCATTAAATCAAAAATCAGACGTGTAAACCCCACATATGAGCATCAGACGTGTAAACCCCACATATGAGCATCAGATGTGCATACACCACATATGACCGTCAGACGTGCACACCCCACATATGACCGTCAGACGTGCACACCCCACATATGACCGTCAGACGTGCACACCCCACATATGACCGTCAGACGTGCACACCCCACATATGACCGTCAGACGTGCACACCCCACATATGAGCATCAGACGTGCACACCCCACATATGAGCATCAGACGTGCACACCCCACATATGGCCGTCAGACGCGCACACCCCACATACGTCACCGTACGACCGTCAGGCGTGTACACCCCACATTTGACCGTCAGACGTGTACACCCCACATTTGATCGTCAGACATGTACACCCCACAGATGATATCACACTCATGTATACATCACATATAATCATCACACACACAAATATATATTTTATATATATCACATATTATCATCAAACACATGTATACCTATCATACGATCATCAGACATGTAGACACTACATATGATCATCTCACACATGTACACATCCCACGCATGGTCCTCAGACATGTATACACTATATATGATCATCACACACACATGTGCACATCCCACATATGGTCATCAGAATATAGACACTACATTTGACCATCACACACACATGTACACATCCCACATATGGTCATCAGACATGTAGACACTACATATGATCATCACACACACATGTTGTACATACCTATCATACGATTATCAGACATGTAGACACTACATATGATCATCAAACACACACAAGTACACATCCCACATATGGTCATCAGACATGTAGACATTACATATGATCTTCACACACACATGTACACATCCCACATATGGTCATCAGACATGTAGACACTACATATGATCATCACACACACACATGTACATACTTATCATACGATTATCAGACATGTAGACACTACATATGATCATCAAACACACACATGTATACATCCCACATATGGTCAGCAGACATGTAGACATTACATATGATCATCACACACACATGTACACATCCCACATATGGTCATCAGACATGTAGACACACTACATATGATCATCACACACATGTACACATCCCACATATGGTCATCAGACATGTAGACACTACATATGATCTCTCTCCAGTCTCAGACCTGCGATGTAATTGGTCCATTTGTAGAGAACTCCTTCCATAGCTGGGCTCAGTCCGGGGTCGGTGTGCTCATCCTCGGGGTGATGGGAGGAAGAGGGCGGACTAGACGGCCGGGGCTGAGCTGTGCGGAGAGGCCGGATGGTTGCTCATGGTGCCGGGAGATGACCCGGCGGACAGCCCGGACTCGGAGCCCTGAGCCCCCATACACAGCCCGGACGTAGCTGCTTCTTCCTCCTCCTCCTGTCACTGCACTTCCCCTCCTCTCCGCTCTGCCCGCATGGCGCCTCATTCACTTCCTGGTCAGAGGTGTGGGGACAGAGCGGTCCAGTCCTGTACTGTGTGTCCGGGGCCAGTCCTTTACTGTGTACAATGGGGGCCAGTCCTGTACTGTGTGTCCGGGGCCAGTCCTTTACTGTGTACAATGGGGGCCAGTCCTGTACTGTGTGTCCGGGGCCAGTCCTGTACTGTGTACTCCGGGGACAGTCCTGTACTGTGTGTCCGGGGCCAGTCCTGTACTGTGTACTCCGGGGACAGTCCTTTACTGTGTACAATGGGGGCCAGTCCTGTACTGTGTACTCCGGGGACAGTCCTTTACTGTGTACAATGGGGGCCAGTCCTGTACTGTGTACTCCTGGGCCAGTCCTGTACTGTGTACTCCGGGGCCAGTCCTGTACTTTGTGACCGGGGACAGTCCTGTACTGTGTACATCGGGGCCGGTCCTGTACTGTGTACTCCGGGACAGTCCTGTACTGTGTACTCCGGGGCCAGTCCTGTACTTTGTGACCGGGGACAGTCCTGTACTGTGTACATCGGGGTGGGTTATTACCAGCATTCCCCCATACATTAGAATCTTCAGGATTCCCCCTTACAGTGCATGGGGGAACTCTGCGAACTCTGATGTAAAGGGGAACATTGTGGCATCTGATGTTAAGGGGAGCTCTGTGGACTCTTATGTAAGGGGGAGGGGGGGACTCTGGTGACCAGAGACCCCCATACATCAGAGTTTCCATTTACACTAGAGTCTGCAGCATTTCCCATCAGAGTCTTCAGAGTTCACCTTTACATCTAGGTCCATATAGTTCCCTGTTACATCAGGGTCCACAGAGTTCTCCCTTACACTGTAAAGGGGAACCCAGCAGACTCTGATGTAAGGGGAAATGGGTAATATTAACTCGACCTTCATGTAAATGGAGAAATATGTTTTTTGCCTTTTGGTATATCCTAAACACGTTTAAACATGTTTAAAGTACTAGCTACATGTTTGTAGCGTAAATATTGATATTTGCACTGTTTTGCACTGAAGTCCGTAATTTTATATATTTTTTGAAGTGTCAGTAAAAAGTGTGGCTCTGTCAGTAAATTTCATGAGTTTTGTCAGAAAAAAATTATGCTGTCAGGAAATTTTTGTGTCCTTTCGGTAAATTTAATTGTCAACACTGTCAGGTTGGCAACACTGCTGACCACTCACTTTAAAATTTTACTGCAAGACATCCCACAAAATATCATTTTGATTTTTTTAATGACAATTCTCTGTAACAAAACAGGGGTTTTTGCTGTGAGAAAATTGCTCATGTGTCATCAACCTTACTACCTCTACATTGGATAACGATATACATCGTGTTCCAAATTATTATGCAAATTATATTTTTCTCATTTACCTAAATAAATGATGTAAGTAACAGTCAGCATAATTCTCATGTTATCAACTATTAAGAGTACAATTCAAATTTTATTGAACAAACCTCCTAATGATAACAGGATTTTTTGTTAAACATAAAACACTTACAATGCACTGTTCCAAATTATACGCACAGTAAGTTTCAAAACACTTTATAGGTTGTAAAGAACTGAAAATTGTCATTTGTTGTGTTTGCAGCATATTTACTGAAATCAAAAGCTATTTCAATCAAACTTTGAACAACATTTTAACTTTTTAAACATTTTAACAGGTCACGTTACATTTTAACATAGGAGCCCTTATTTGATAGCAGCTTCACAAGTCTTTCATCCATTGAACTTGTGAGTTTTTGGACAGTTTCTGCTTGAATTTGTTTGCAAGATGTCAGAATAGCCTCCCAGAGCTGCTGTTTGGATGTAAACTGCCTCCCACCCTCATAGATCTTTTGCTTGAGGATGCTCCAAAGGTGTAGAGTGCATACCTTACCGGTGGACTTTTTAATTCTTTTTAAGGTCTGGTACACACTGTGCAGTCTGGTTGTGGGTGCAGGAATCGCACATGTCCCCGCACCTGCAACCACCACAGCCAAATTGCGCTGCTCCTACTAGACCCGCAGAGCTTCCATTCATTCTTAATGGCACCACCACACATCTCAAGCATTTACAGCTGTGGGAACCGCAGGGAAATCGCACAGTGTTTTTATTTTTGCAGATAATGGAGGCACGACAGCCCATTTAAATGAATGGGCTGCTATGCTTGTGCAAATAGGGGCCGTACGGCCTGCACAAGTGTGAACCAGGGCTAACTCTTGAAATGATGCTGTATACACAACTAAATACCTTTTGTAAATCACAATGCAGCCTTTCCCTGTATGTTGACATAAATAAGGAATGAAAAAAAGGAAAAATAAGTTCCCTTTAATACTGCTCTGTTAAAAAAATTGGTAAAATTACATATGCATTTTTTGGACTGTTGACTCAAATCAAGCAACTTTGACATGAGATTTGGATGTGTTTTCCATTCATTCCAAAAATGCAGAATGCAGGACTTTTAAAAACGCACTGCACTCGCAGCGCACTGGTGTGAAAAACTTCAAAGGATTTAAATGGACACATTTTTCATGCATTTTATTTCCACTTTTTAGCTCCTGAAACTAATCAGTGTGAAAGAGCCCATCTACAGTATATCAGCCAATAAAAACCAAAACAGCTGTTTTTCAAACGTTTATGACAAATTGACTATAATGACAACTACATATATTGGCCATATGCTAAACTGACTTTTTTGATGATCCTTGGAAGCCAGCATTATACGCTGTCTAAGGTTATGGTCTTTATAAAAAAAATCAAATAGGAATTATTATATATAACAGTATCTGTTGCACAGACGTGATAATTGCATAGCCTTGTAAGCAGTCAAAGCAAGATATTGGGGACAGTCTGGGAGTGAATAGGGTTAAATGATGGTGCATTCCACCTAGGAAGAATTACAGATGCCCTAGGTTAGTAATCTGACCCAGCAGCAGTTCTCTGCAAGTCTGGAACTTGTGTCTTCCCTGTTTTCACATAGGAAGCGAAAAAGAGTTTGCCAAAAAGGAGGCTGAGTTCCATTTCCTGGATAGCCAATCACACAGCTTTATACAAATACTAAGATCCCAGCTGACACAGCTCTCTGTCTTTGAAGACAAAACTATTTGGAGTGTTTCATTTTTTTGTGCTGAGTGCCACGTGTATAGCACCAGAAGTATAAAGATCAAGGCTTTGGGCACGTTTTGTTTTCTGGCAGAACATATCAGAAGGACAATGCATTTCTCACTTAGATATATTTTCCTTATACAGGCTTTTAGCCTCCTGACCAGCTGTGAAAAATCAGAGATCGAGGAAGAAAAAATCAAAATCGAAGTTGTACATGTCCCAAGTGTCTGCACGCAGAAGAGCAAAAGAGGAGATCTGGTCAATGCACATTATGATGGGTTTTTAGCCACAGATCTGTCCAAATTTTACTGCAGGTAAGTGACAAAGTGGTAAAGCATGTTTTTAAAAGAGGAGGTGGAATGTGCTGTTACATAATTCTTGACTGCTTTTTGGGTTTATTCTAACGGATTCTGGTTCTAACATCTCCAATATGTATGCATGTGTGTCTTCCTTTAAAATACAGCTTTAGGTTTGATAACTACATCTATGCTCATATTTGTGCATCAGTGATGAAACAGCTGAGCAAGTCTAGGAATAAATAATATACACTCACCAGCCACTTTATTAGGTACACCTGTTCAATTGCTTGGTAACACAAATTGCTAATTAGCCAATCACATGGTACCAACTCAGTGTATTTAGGCATCTAGACGTGGTGAAGACAACTTGCTGAAGTTCAAACCGAGCATCAGAATGGGGAAGAAGGGGGATTTAAGTGACTTTTAACGTGGCATGGTTGTCAGTGCCAGACTGGCTCTTCTGAGTACTGATCTACTGGGATTTTCACTCACAACCATCTGTAGGGTTTACAGAGAATGGTCCAAAAAAAAAGAAAATATCCAGTGAGCTGCAGTTGTGTGGACGAAAATGCCTTGTTGATGTCAGAGGAGTATGGGCAGAGTGGTTGTTGCAACATTCAGATGGTAGGGTCAGAATTTTGGCGTAAACAACATGAAAGCATGGATCCATCCTGTCTTGTATCAAAGGTTCAGGCTGGTGGTGGTATAATGGTGTTGAGGATATATTTCTTGGCACTAGCATGGTGTACCTAATAAAGTGGCTGGTGAGTGTATTACAATCAGAAAATTTTATTTATTTATATATATATTGCTTGGACTATATGTGTTGGACTGGTCCTAGTTGGTGCACTGATTAAAACAGTTTAGCTGTCTACCTCTGTGGATTGTAGATAAATAATAACACAACTTATGTAATATGTTATAATGTAAAGCGCTGAGCAAACTGTTGGCGCTATGTAAATCCTGTATTATAATAATAATAATGTAGCACTAAATCGGTAGTATATACTGCTTGGTGACTTGTGCCTTAAGGTAAGATTACAATCAAGCTGAGTATGCCATCAATTCAGAGCACTGTGCCACAATTGTGACACCCATGTGCATGCATGGGAGTGATGTCTTCACAGCCATCCAAACGTATGGAGCCCACTAACCTGGAAGGAAGTCCAGGCAAAGATGGAAACCCATCTTTGCACGCTGTTGGAGGGCTTCATTTTAAGGTACGGTAAGTATTTCTTTATGTGCTAGTATGTGGTGCATACTATCACATTATGACAGTAACTTAAAGGGTGAAGTTTTTTTTGTTTTTTTTTATCTACAGCCTTTACTACTACTTTAATTAGATTATATATCTTAAAGTATTCTTTAAAGACCCATTCAGACATTCAAGTTTTCTGTTCAGATGTGTTAATATACAGTACACATATTATAAGTGGGATGCCAAACACGCTACAACAAATAAGTGGTGCTTTGGGCTCTTGTCTACAATGCGTTCAGATACTAATCACAATGAATAGCACCGAAATTAGAGCAGGTTTGTTGCCATTTGTTGTGCACTCAAAATCGTGACTGGGCCCCTAAAGCCAAATTTACCACACTAACTCCTCCCACAGTTTTTACACTACATAAACAGTAATATACCGAAACGTGCGGATTGTTCCCGATTGGTGTGCTATTACTTTGTGGAACGTTTCGCCGAATGGTTCACGAAATATTGCCATTTTTGTGGTGAAATTGGTCCTATAGGAATGAATGGCGCAATGTTCAAAAACTAGAGTGGGAGCTGACAAAAGCTAGAGTGTGAGCTGAAAAATCAGGACATGATTTCTAAACTGCCATCACTCCCTCATTTTCAAGCCCACCTACACAAATCTTATATCAAAACGTTCAGCTATCCCTGCTGCCCCTAAAAATGTCCACAGCTAAGCCATAGTCCTGATAGTTTTCACAATTTGACCATTTGTTTGCAACTCACACCGCCCATTGACCTTTTCACAGTTACTCCAGACACTCCAACCACACAACAGTTACTCAAGCCACTCCACCCAGTTACTCCGCCCACTCCAGTTGTAGACTACTGGTGGAGGCAAGAACACTTCACACAATTTCCCCAGAAATTGTAGCTTTTCTAGTTGTGATTGCATTTTTTCTTTTCAAGTGAATCAAATTAAATCTTTGTAAGGCTCTATTCACATGGGTGTTTAACCACGCTGCGAATCCCAGTGGATAGAATCTATTGTGTGCATCCAAATGACTGTGGCTGAAAACAGCCTCTCATTGTCGTGTATGAGCTCAGTGGCCAAAGCTATCCACATACAGCTGTCAATCCCAGTGTTAGGGACCAACCGGAGGTAGCCTCTAGCTTTCCACAGACCAGAATTCCCCAGGGCGCGGAATCTAAGTCCCAACCTGCTTGTTCACCAGAGCCCCTGATGGTGGGGATGGACTTGGAGCAAGCCGAGACCAGGTCGCGACCCCTGGGTGCAGCCAGCCGTGGTAGAGGCACCTGTCGGTGGTACACAGCAGGTGAGAGTCTGATGTGAGAAGGCAGAGTAAGCGAGGTCAGACAGGCCGGGTCGGTAACAGTGGAGCAGGTCGGTACAAACAGCAGGCAGAAGAATAAACGGGTCACAGTCCAGGTTCGGCAACAGGGGATCAAAGGTTCAGGAGCAGGCAGGAGAATGGTCAGGAAAGCCAGGGGTCAGAGCAGGAGAAGTCAGCAGACCAGGATCAGGCAGGGTCAGCAGCAAAGTAAACTCACAGAACACAGGAAAGACCATACAGCAACTAAGCACTGTCAGAGTCCATTTAAATAGGGCGCCCTGCGCTCCTATTGGTGCCAGGCACGTGATCGCGAGTGCGCCGCTGCTGTCACGGATGCACAGGTCGTAGTACCCGCACGCCAGTGCGCCTCGGCACATCGCGCATGCACAGACCCGCGCGCTGCGATCCGGCTCAAGATCCCTGACATTAAGCCACAGGAATCAGTAGATGTATGCTGCTGGGATTTGCAGCATTGCTAAATTGCCCGTGTGAATGGAGCCCAAAGCACAAATCCTTGGAAGATAACACAATAGATGTCAATGCATTTGTTCTGGTGTGTACAAGTTCTACCATTCTCCGAGTGTGCAGTGTGTGAGGTCAAGCATGTAATAGAGACAGTATATGCTGTGTGCGTGTATATATATGTGTATATATATATATATATATATATATATATATATATATATATATATACACATACCGTCTGTAGAAAGACATTTCCTTTTTAGCTTTGACCAGAATTGGGAGTTAGAACTCCTGTCAGCATTTACTCCATTACAGAGATTTAATCTCACTTCCTTTCCTGCTGAAAATCATTTTACTAAACAGAGAGGGGAACTGTCTAACAGATAAACCACCACTAATAAACAATTCTATTATTAGGTAAGCAGGGGAAGGCTCAAATTCCAGACCCCCCTTGGAAATTGTACGAAAGGCCTGGCCTGGCCTAACCCACTATTGCGCTCACCCTCTCAAGAACAAGTTCCTCTGCCTCTGCATACAGATCCATGCTCAAGAGTAACTTCCCCTCCTTATAAATAACAATGGTTAAGGCCAGATTTCAAAATGAGAGATTAACACTTTTTTCTCTCATTTGAAAGATTAACACTTTACTGTGCAAATCACCTACAAAACAACCGTTCAACACGGTGTGACTTCGGCTTTGCGGTGCGGCACCGATTTTGAAAATATGATTCCTGCACTTTTTTTGGCAATTGCATGTGCAACTTGCATAGGACACTGTGCATGAAGTTGCACAGACCTCAGGCAAGCCAAACATTAAATCGCACTGACCAGCGGGTTTAAAATCGCTCTACTTCAAGTGAAGTAGCATGTTTTCAAAAGCCGCATTCAGTGTGAACCAAGGCTAAGACAGGATCCCAACTTAACTGACTCCTTTCTATGTGACTAACTAGACAAGGCTTTTTCAACTAGGGTTCCTCCAGAGGATGCTAGGGGTTCTTTAAGCTGTCGCAAATTGATTTTCCATTTACAATGACCACAAATGTAAGGGGCTATTTCCCACTGGAATCCAATACAAGAGGTCACCCATGTAAAGGGGCATTTTTTTCCCCATTGACCACCAATGTATGGGACAGCTTTTCCACTGGCAACTAGTTCAAAGCCTAACTTCAGTCACTTTAAATAGTTTTTTTTTGACCAAGCTGGTCCAAACAAACTATGAGCTTCACTAATATATGTGCCATCAGCCACATACAGTATACAGCGCTGTGTTCCAGCAATGGTATGGAGACTTCCAGTCCTACTCCTGGGAGTTGGGCTGAGCAGTGATCAGCCATTCACAGGAAGCTTTGTAATTTCTGAATGAGTACAGCCTTTGATTGACTGGGGTGGAGTTTATGGTGTTATCCACCCACATCTCCACCTCAGCATATCAGAGGAAGCCTTGTAATCATTCAGAAAATACAAGGCTTCCTGTGAATGGCTGAGCAATGCTCAGCCCAACTCCCAGGAGTAGGACTGGAAGTCTCCATACCATTGCTGGAACACAGCGCTGTATACTGTATGTGGCTGATGGCACATATATTAGAGAAGCACATAGTTTGTTTGGACCAGCTTGGTCCAAAAAAAACTACCGTATTTGCCGGCGTATAAGACGAATTTTTACCCCTTGAAAATCTTCTCAAAAGTCGGGGGTCGTCTAATACGCCGGTATACGGCATACTGACACTTTTTAGGGGGGCGGCGCGTTGCCGCCGCCGCCCCCCCCCCCTTCCCCCAATGGAAGGGACACTAATTACAGGGGTGGGCAGCGGGCTGTTTCTTACCTGGTTCCGGTCCCACGACGATCCGGTCCAGGAAGCGCGGCTGCGCCTTCAGTTCGGCCACTGGATGTTCGTGCGGCTGCTCGGCTCCGCCTCCTCACCAGTGATTGGCCGCCAGAACTGTAGCTCAGGAAAGGCACACAGGCGGCCAATCACCGGCGAGGGGGTGGAGCCGAGCGGCCCCGCGAAAATCGAGTGCAGGACCAGCAGGTAAGTGGTCAGTGTAGAGGTGCTGCTGCAACCACATATGCTGGCTGCAGCAGCACCATACGAGAACAGGGTCAGCAAGTGTCAGTGGGAGGAATAGTGCCCCATCATTGGTGTCACTGATACCAATGATGGAGCACTATTCCTCCCACTGATACCAATGATGGGGCACTATTCCTCCCACTGACACCAATGATGGGGCACTATTCCTCACACTGACACCAACGATGGGGCACTATTCCTCCCCCCCCACTGACACCAACGATGGGGCACTATTCCCCCCCCCCCAATGACACCAATGATGGGGCACTATTCCACCCCCCACTGACACCAATGTTGGGACACCATTCCTCCCACTGACACCAATGTTGGGACACCATTCCTCCCACTGACACCAATGATGGGGCACTTATCCCCCCACTGATACCAATGATGGGGCACTATTCCCCCCACTGATACTAATGATGGGGCACTATTCCTGCCACTGATACCAATGATGGGGCACTATTCCCCCCACTGATACTAATGATGGGGCACTATTCCTTTCCTCCCACTGACACCAATGATGGGGCACTATTCCTCCCACTGATACTAATGATGGGGCACTATTCCTGCCACTAATGCCAATGATGGGGCACTATTCCTGCCACTGACACCAATGATGGGGCACTATTCCTCCCACTGATACCAATGATGGGGCACTATTCCTGCCACTGATACCAATGATGGGGCACTATTCCTGCCACTGATACCAATGATGGGGCACTATTCCTGCCACTGATACCAATGATGGGGCACTATTCCTGCCACTGATACCAATGATGGGGCACTATTCCTCCACTGATACCAATGATGGGGCACTATTCCTGCCACTGATACCAATGATGGGGCACTATTCCTCCAACTGATACCAATGATGGGGCACTATTCCTGCCACTGATACCAATGATGGGGCACTATTCCTGCCACTGATACCAATGATGGGGCACTATTCCTGCCACTGATACCAATGATGGGGCACTATTCCTGCCACTGATACCAATGATGGGGCACTATTCCTGCCACTGGTGTGCATTGGAAGAGGGGTAGTCTTATACGGCGAGTATAGCTCAAACACTAAATTTTAGCAGGAAAAGTAGGGGGGTCGTCTTATACGCCAAGTCGTCTTATACGCCGGCAAATACGGTATTTAAAGTGATTGGTGAAGGCTTTGAACTAGTTGCCAGTGGAAAAGCTGTTCCTTACATTGGGGTGGAGATAATGGTGTCATCCACCCGCCTCTCCACCTCAGCAAATCAGAGGAAGCCTTGTAATCATTCAGAAAATACAAGGCTTCCTGTGAATGGCTGAGCAATGCTCAGTAAGATTCAATTTTGTTTTGGGAATGAGACAGTAAGTCTCAGCCCTTCTGCTACACAGCACTGTATGCTGTGTTTAGCTGATGCTACATTAAATTTATACATCTGTTGTTGAAGGTAATAGTTCGTTTGAACCAGCTTAGTCCAATGGTAAAGTGACAGAAAACTGGAGGGGACACTACAATCTTCACAGTTTGGGTTTCTTTCCTGACTTCATTATTTGATTCCTTTCATTTGAGTTGTCAGGATCAGCAAAAGTGTGTTGTAAAATGATCTACTGGGTGTGTGAGATACCATAAGTAGGTCATTTCTTCTTTTATTTATAATGTCCTACAACCTGTTGATTATGCAAAAATACCATGACCTGCGAATGTAATATTTTTTTGGCATGTTATTATTTCAAATTATTTTAAGGGTTCCTCTGGGGGTCAAAAGACCGAGAGGCTGTAATAAACTCTAGACTTTTATTACAAATGAATATGGGTATCTTTTGGTGTCTAAGGGGATTACAGACATCTCCCTACCATTCCATATTTGTATTACATTTTGTTTGGTAAAATGCATGTATGTAGTAATCTCACTTCCTTTCATGTTTAGCAGATATATACTGATTTACTAATAACTGTTCTCTTGTGTATAGTCGCAGTGAAAGAGATGGTCACCCGAAGTGGTTTGTTCTTGGAGTTGGACAAGTGATTAAGGGCCTCGATATTGCATTGATGGACATGTGCCCTGGAGAAAAAAGGAAAGTGGTCATTCCTCCTTCTCTAGCTTATGGAGAGCAAGGCTATGGTAAACCAAGCATTCTTTTGTTTCACATTTTCAGTAATCTGAAGATAAATTGGAACACCTTACTCAAAATACTTTTTTTATTTTCTTTGATTAAAGGTTGTCTTCTTACAATTATTACAGCTCTTGCCAGTCACCTATGACTTTTCAAAGGAGTGTTTTCTGTATTACTTCTCTTTCTGCTGCAGTTTATTCAAATTCAGGCCAATTACATTATTTGGGCCCCAACTGAACACTCCAGTCACTATTGCGGAGAACTGAGTGTGCTGTAAGCAATCAGACAAGATATCCTAATATGTCTGATCATTATTTCACCCAAAGGTGTTTAGCCAGAAGTATCTGGAATGCAACCATAGGCATAGGATCACAGAGCTGGATTGAATGACTGATATCTTTGGTTGGTAAGCACCGTTAAAATAATGGGAGATACAGAGATTGTTGTGGATCAGTATTGAAGGAGAAGTTCATGAATACAAAGAACAAACTTACATACTGATCTATGGTGATGCAACATTGGTCCAATGAGTGTCTGTTCCCTGCTGGCTCTAGGACCAAGAAGACTGAGCAATCTCATAACCACTGATCGCTCAGTTCTTAGTCTTCACTAATCAGAGCGGTGTCTGTCAGTCACTGACTCTCTGCTCTGCTCCTCCAGTGCTCACAGGAGTGCTGGGCTGTGGAGGAGGCGGGAGCGGCTAGCTCAGACTATCAGCGGCATGCTGAAAGGTTAGACAGTTGCCAGTCAGGAATCTGGGTTGATCCCAACATTAAAGTCAGCATCTGTGCAGAGCCTGGACTGGCTCTGTTATGTCAGCTGACAGCAGGCTTTTGGTTTTGTTTTGGCTAGAGTGGGAAGGGGTTAGAAGCTCTATAAACGTTTTTTTTTATACCAGTCTGTGTTCCTACTATGAGAGATTCTCCTCACTTTCTATCTGTTTGATTTGTCTTAAAAGAGAAGTTTGGGAATCTCAAAAAAAAAAAGATCATACTTGCCTAGATCAAGTATCTTGATCTAGTATCAAAAATCCCGCTGATGAAGTCACGTGACCCTGTGACGCAACGCGTAGGGGAGGGGCTCTGACGTCACGACGTTGCATCGGAGAGGCTCGGCGATTCCAGCAGGGCAGACAGAGAGGCAAAGGCAGAGTATACTACCCACTGCTGACCTGTATTCAAGTGCCACATACTGCTGTATATCACCGCATCTGGCAGCAATAAATCATTCATATTTTAAAAGAGGATAAGGCACCATGGTCTTTCTTTTTTTCGTTTGATCTATACTCCCCACACTGAGGAAAGGAGGATATAAGGAAGAGGTGTCCCCAGGAGGGGAAATGGGAGATCCTTATAGATCTTTATAAACACTCATTCATAAGTAGCTTCCTTTATGGAGAAAGAGGAGAGCACAGGAGGATTCCTACAGATCTTTTTTGGAAACATTTAACATATGAGCACTATCCCACCAATCCTGGAAGGATTAAAAGCTTATTTGCCTAAATTTATTTAGGCAAATATTAAGGTGAGCGCATATTGAGACCACACGGCACCTGGAGAGAGGGAATAAGGAGATCACCTGCACATTGCACATATTGATAAAAGACTTTATTTATGCACTTTATTGATTGCATTTGCACATTTATTAATGAATTGGCACATATATTGATTAATCACATATGATATGTACTGGCACAGATTATGGTGCTAATACATTTGTATTTGCACATTTGCACATTGATTAATGAATTTGCACATAAATGAATTGATCACATATGATATGTATTAGCACAGATTATGGTTTTGATTTATTTATATTCATGTTTTAATTTTTTATTTATAAAGTCACAGCATTTTATTTGGTCACAATTTTCATGCATGTATTAGCTTATGCATTTATAAGCGTGAGACATTTCACGATTAAGGATCTAAAATAGGAGCGCGGCACTATAAAATATATATATTTGGATACTTGCCTAGATGGCTACAGCTCTGATCCCAGCTGCAGCTGTCCCCTGCCACCTCAAAGACCAAAAAAATGGGCTGATTGCTCAGTTCTTGCTCCTCGCCTACAGAGAGCTGGTGACTGTCAGTCACCGACTTTCCGCACTGCCCTTCCAGCTCTCAGTGGAGCACTGGGCTGTGGATGGAACTGGAGTAGCTGGCTCAGGCTCTCAGCGGATCACTGAGGCTGAGCCAGCTGCTGGTCCAGGCTTCTGAGCAGATCCTGACCATATGGTCAGGATCTTTTCAGAGCCTGGACCGAGCCTGTGACCCACATGAGAAGTATAGCCAAAAAAGATTTGTGCATACTTCTCCTTTTAAGATGGCCAAAGATGGATTGAAATTTGGCCAGTTCAGCAGGGATCAGCTGAATTTTAATCCATCTACACCCTGTCCTGTTTAAGAGCAGGCGATCGACTGATCGAATGCTCACAAATAGGTTTGCTGGAAAACCTGATCCGCTGTCAGGACACAATGTCACAGCAGGGAGGATTCCCTTATTCATTTTGATTGTGTGGATGGGGAAATTGGTTCAGTTTTTTTTTTTTTTCATGACATGTATGGCCAGCTTTAGACAGAACTAGAAGTGAAGAAATCTGAATGCAGTCAGCAATTAAAACACATATTCCAGTACATTTAGGAAAGTTTAGGACCTCTGTAAGGATTGAATTACATTTCATGTTCCTATTAGATAAATTGTACATTTCAAGATGGTGGATGAATAGAAATAGGAAATTAGATAAATTTTGTTAGACAGGGATGCAGCCAGCAATTAAACCTAACCTAGACCTATACTGCAGAAACTTTGTGTAAGAGTGAAAACATTACAAAATCCCAAACGTTTTCTAATTAGAATTGTCTGCATAATCTTACCTCACCATGTATAAGGACATCCTGCATCCATCCTTATCTTATTCAGCATGATCTCTTTTCAGTTTATATTTCAAACAACTAAAATTGTGATGAAAGGAGATCTTGTAACTGTGACTTTAAAGGGTAACTCCACTTTCATGAGAAAAAATATTGCAAGTAAAAAGTAAAAAAAAAATAATAATATAGCTTATACAATTGCTACACGCGTTATATTGTAATTTAATCTCATTAAAAATGATGTTTCCTTTTTCAAACTGCAGCCACTGAAATTTTCTATAAAGTCAATGCAGTATGGTTCCTAGAGCTGTTCTGTACACAGTTGGTGTACAGAATGCTCCCAGAAATGTCATTTCCTGCTTGTGTGCAGAACGTAGTCAGATTTTAGGCAACAAAAATTATTATTTTTGGTGAGAAACTTCTAAAGGGATGGAGACACTGCCACTTTTCCTCACAGTGCACCAGCTGATTAATTAAAATTCAAGTGGAAAAAAAAAAAAATAACAAACATGTCATACTTACAGTATCTGCTCTGTGCAGTGGTTTTGCACAGAGCAACCCTGATCCGCCTCTTCTTGTGTCCCCTGCCAGTGCTTCTAGCCCCTCCTTCCTGCCAAGTGCCTCCAGAGCAAGCAGCCTTATGTGGGGGCACCCAAGAACCGCTGCTTTTTGTGACCCTCTCTCTCTCATTGGCTCACTGGCTGTGGCATAGGCTCATGCTGCTTTCTTAGCTAATGAAGAGGGAGAGATCCAGGGGAGTCGGTGCTGTTGTGCACATTGCTGGATCGGGAGGCGGCTCATGTAAGAATTATGAGTGGCGAGGGTGGGGGAGGCGCTGCTGCACACAGAATGTTTTTTACCTGCATGCATAGAATGCATGAAGGTAAAAAGCCTTGAGCATTTACAACCACTCTAATTAGTCACTCCCATTCAAAATCAATATCCAAAAAACTTGGTGGAACATACAGCTTTTTCTTTAGAGCAGAAGCAGGTAGGAATCTGTAACAAAGTTTGTTAAAATCCACGTAATGTATGTGGATCACCTAGATGGGATTGTTTTTTTCTTAACAAAAGTAGAGTTACTCTTAACTTCTTTTTTGGAAAGTGCTAGGCTTGTAATTTTCAAACAATCCTCAGGTTTATTGTTAGAGTCCTTTTCCATAGCTATCGTCCGGTCCATTCAGTAAGGGATCTGTTAAATCTGAAAATCAGAAAGGATCAGTTGAAAGGGATTGATTTTACTCTTGTGACATCTGTGCCCTTTCAGTTTTTCTTCTGCACTTTGCATCCGGTCCTTTGTGGACCCGTGTGGATCTATGGCAAGCCAGATGAAAACAGCCTTGTGTCAGGCTACCGCTGATCTATCACGTTTAGGTCTGCAAAAATGAAAAAAGATGCAGTCCTTTTTTCATATTTTTTCTGGACCTGGTGAGACTTGTAAGTAAGCGGATGCAAACAGGAACGCATTCATAATCGTCCACCTGCTCACAGTCTTACATGGAGTTTCCGATCAGCTCCACCTGAAAAACTGATAGGCAGACCTGATCAGAAAACCCATGTGAAAGAACCCATGGGCCTCTTGCACACAGATGCTTTAGCCTGTGCAATATAAATTCCAGTGTATTTCCCCCACCTGGAAAACCTATCTACTGTGTACAGTCATCCATATACCTAAAGGGCTGTGTGCAACTGTACTCAGGTATAGTACCCTCAGTGTACAGAGTAGGTAAATTTAGTTGGCTCCTCTGTAGGCACAGGAACTGGGGTTAATTTGTTTGTGTTTAGCTGGGAAGAGCTCTAAGGGCTGGGTTTCTACTACCAACCCCTGTCTTATAGAACTTGCTGGATAGTTCTGGAATTTAGAGGGTGGAGGAACAGAGGCCAAAGCTTGACTATTCATGGTGTCTCCACCAATCCCTGGGTAGGCAAGGCCCAGAGGTGGGGAGACAGGGCATAAATGTTCAGGAGCCTGGCAGTAGGTGTGCAAAGTCAAGAAGGGACCCCCTATGTTGGGGGGTTCTTTGTCCCTCAGCAGAAGGAAGGACAGGAGAGAGCTAGTGGAAGAGAGAAAGCATAGCTGGGATTAGCTGAAGCCATCCTGACAGTCAAGATCTGGGCCTGTATAGCATGAAGAC